CTCTGTGAATGGTACTCATGGTTATTGATCAGTGGTTGTTGATCAATGGTTGTTGATGGTCATATCAATGGTCATGAAACTGACCACACGGCCCGTTGTTAGTCAGTGGTATTAGTAGTCACTATGCAAATATGAAAATAATACATGGTCTGCAACAATGCTCAAGTTGGTGGTACGTGTCAAAGTAACATCATGAGTAGCATGACCCAATGTCTCCCACTATAACTTTGCCCAAAGCATCAAACGGCCTCCACCAGCTTAGTAGTAGTGCATCCTCATTCAAAAACCCCTTATTCTGTTAAATGGGATTGTCGGCACATGTGCTAATTATTGTGTTTCTGGTAGATTCCTGAGGGTTGGTGCTTTAGTATTTGTCTTTCTTGATGCTAAAATGCATCTTTTTGTGTTTCTTTGTCTCGCCTCAGGTATCAGAGCAGGAGATGGATGACATCATAGCTCGATCCACTCACAGGGACAAAATTAGCAGGAACAAGTACTCATTTCATTCCCAAGGTCTGACCTGTAGCAGCATTCACATTTTAATTAACTGTATCAACTATTTTACCTGCTACACTATTGTAGTTTAACTACTGTGTAGGCAAAAGCACTGTTTCTTTGGTCTGTAACAAGGTTTCCATGAAGAACACTGTACTGTGACAAGACAGGGTTGATGTTGTTCACTTAGTCCTGGTTTCACCATGGTATTAGATCACTTCCTGTTCTTGTTACGGTGCACTGTGGTGTTTTTCTGTAGGTCAATCTGTGTAGCTTGATTAACTGCAAATGTTCTCATTGAAACCTATTTCATAGTAACTTACAGGGGCTGTATTAAAGCATCATTTCTTCAGAATCACATGCAAATATTCACTAACTGTGTCCTTAGGGATTTGCTAGCTTAGTGTAGCTAATAGCTTAGCAGTTAGCCAAACCACTAGCAGCAGGCTTGTGTGTTAGGGGTTAACTGCACTTTCCTCCTCAGCTGTGCCCCAGCAGGTGACTGTGGAAGAAGTGTAGTCAAAAACAGAAGTGCCCACCAACCTGTTCAGTTCTGGGGAAAATTGATTCTGCCAGTTAATTTTCCCCAATCTGTGAAATACCTGCCAAAGAACAAAATGTGCTGGGAAGATTTTACTCTTAGAAATGTGAAACTAGAGTCCCAGCAACCATGGTCAAAGTATTCCAGGGGCCAGAGCAGGTGACACTGGAACAACTTTGAAGGCTGCATCAGCCTCTAGTCCCATAGTATATATGTGTATGTAGTATATATGCATGTCCACATGTGGGTCTTCAAATGGCGGCTGTCCAGAAAATGATGTAACTTTTATAGATAACTTAAATGTTCAGAGGAAAACCTGTTCTTATTAGGAGAGAGCCAGCATCTATACCTCTTTGGATTTTTTAGTTCTTTCTATAAAAATTGGTGAGATTGTATAAAACCCCAGTCCTACGGTCTTACAGGGAGCTTCCCTCCTCTTGTTACCAGCACCCCCCAGATCCCATCCACACATAAACTATCCAGCAAACCACACTCTCATTGCTGTGCTGCTGATACTCAGTTTTATTTATCTATGAATCCAGACATGACGGCCTGGATTATCTTTAATGTCTTCCCTCTAAACTCAGATAAAGCTGAGGTTAAACCTTAGAAATACAGTCACTAACTTGCTCCGTGTGGTGTGTGAAAATGATGGCATCACTGAATTCTGTATTTGTTTGGGTTTGTCGTGGTTTTAATGTGTAGGTGTGTCCTGTAAGAACACCAGCCCAGCAGTGAAGGACATGCAGGAAGACAGGTCGCCTGTTCTCAGCTGGACCATGAAGAGGTTCCTTGAGCCTGCCAGCAGGGTATGTTTTCATTTAGACATATATTTTGTTTTGTTGATGCATTGATAGGTTCAGTTTCAACCTTCTTACACAATCATATAGAATAGAATAGACTTTTATTGTTATTTTACATGTACAATGAAACTGTAGGTGCTCCACACCAGCTGTGCATGGAATAAAAGTGTAACTAGAAAAAGTTGCATTTCCTGCAAAAATGCAGTGTGAATGCCGTGTAGTGGAACCTAATGAAAACAGCTGAAGAAGCAGAACTATCTGCTGAAAAGAGCTGAAGAAGCTGAAGTTTGTGCTGAAAAGAAGTGAAAAAGCAGAACATTTAGCCTATAAGAGGTGAAGGAGCTAAAATTTCTGCTGAAAAGAGGTGAACTAGCTGAAGTTTTTACTGATAAGAGTTAAAGAAGTTAAACTGTCTACTGAAAAAAAATGGTGCTATTACCGGGATTTAAACCCGGCCCTCCCGCTTTGAGAATGGCTGCTCATCTCTCTGAACCAAACTGGTTCTCAACTGAGTCAAACATATGGTGAGAGAAAAATGTGCAGGGTGCAGAAGGCGCTGAGCAAACTGCTGAAAAGAGCTGAAAAAGCTGAACTTTCTACAGAAAAGATGTGAAGAAGCTGAAATTTGTGCTGAAAAGAGGTGTAGAAGCTGAAGTGATTGCTGAAGATGGCTGTATTTGAAAGGGTACACCGCAGACTGTCAAGAAAGCAGTGTGCATGTGAGCATGGAAGATGTGGCAACTGCCACAGGTAGGATTCGAACCTTCACCACTGGATCTTACAGCAGCTGCTCATCCCACTGAGCCAAACCAATTCTAGTCCCGAAGAAAGATATGATAAGAGAAAAAATGTGCACTGTGCAGAAGAAGCTGAATTGTGCTGAAAAGAGGTGAAGAAGCAGAACTTTGTGCT